ATACAATACAGCCACTTCATAATGCTTAGTGCTGAAGTTTGGGAATTTTTAAATATTAATTTGACATGGTTTTGATATTTTAACAACTGACTGTACCTTCAACTTGCATTTTATATCTGTGAGAAGTTTTGGCAAAGCGAGCTACATACCATATTGAACAATGTGTACACTGACAGAGTTCTGGTTCAGCCGATGTTTCTTTCACCACTGTAGCTTGATGTTCCCAAATGGCCAAGTTTAATCAAAGCTCGCACTCTGCTCTAGGAAACAAACCTCAACTAGGAACCAACTGAAGCTTCTGTAGAGTTTCACCAACCAGACAGGCACAGGAAGAGAGGAAAAAACTACCAAACACACTGCAGTTTACCAGTGATCAATTTATGCAACTAAGGCTGGGGAGAGTCAAGTTTTCCAAGGTGATGCATGATGATCCTTTGAGCACAAAGTGCTTGTATCTCTAAACCGGAACCCATTTCTGCCAAACGCTGACTGAGTGATAAAATGGAAAAAGCATACCGTCAGTTAGACACTCGTGGAGAAAACAAATGACAGGTAGCGAGGGATGATTGAAATATAGAGAAGAACTCATTACAAAAGCCATCAAGAGGGATGTATGGTTGGACAGCTGAGAGGCAGCATCGGTAAACAACATGGTACCAGACCTAGAGCAGCCAAACAAGCCTAATGGATGTGAAAGCAGGAATGGTACCGCACTAAGCAAAGTGGATTATCTTGTAATAACTGGGCAAAACAACCAAAAAAACAACTAAATTTTAAGATAACATGCACATAATTGACAAAAAGGAGAGCAAACTAAAGAAAAAGAAAATTAAGTAGAAATCACATCATCAAGATTCAAATTTGCCTTAGAAAAAAACAAAAACTGTTTTTTGGAGGGTAAATACCTCATCAATCAGTTTCTTTATATGAAACCAGCTCACAACAAATGCTTTCTCAAAGCATTTAACAACAACAAACAAAAAAAACAACCCCAATTTCGATTCAGTCATACAGTCAGATTGATTCTAGTTATCAAATAGTACAGTATGCTAAATTAATTCTTCAAAGTAGCTTAAAAAGTTTCCAAGGAAACCCAGTAGACCGCAACCAGTCACTGACTTGCAGCATTCGCTACTCTTCCTCTATGCAATATTAATGAGTAATTTCTGTGTAACATCTCTATGTATGACAGTATTTGCACATATCTTGGTTTACCCGAGAAAAAAACAGGGAGACAGAATGCAGTGTCAATCACGTCTTGAAATGGTAAATATTAGTTAATTTTCCACAAATTGCAGAATACAGTGGATGGGGTTCATTTAAGATTATCTTGTCCTGGGAACAGGCCAGGCTGTCAGCTGGCCTGCACTAGAGCAGTCATAATTAAAGCAAACAGCAGGTACAAAAGATTGACAGAGAATCTGTGCAAACAGACTAACTTTATTACATTTGTAAATAAGTTTCTTTCTTACTGAATTTTTTTTTTTTCTTTTACGTGCAACCACTGTGCTCTAAAGAAAATGTGCCTGGAGAAGCTGGTGTAACCATATAAAAAAAAACAAATCTCTGAAAACAAGACTAAAAAACAAGCTTCTGACAAATACTCATGTTGCTTTTTAAAGGCACTTCTTTCCAGGATGCATTTAAAGAAGCAGCTAGTTGCCTCATGAAATGAAAATTCTCATATTAGGATGAAACAGAGCAGCTAATGTATGTCAAGTGCACATGATGTCATTAAGACAGCCATCTTCCACAGAACTTACAGTCAATGTTCAAGTCATCCACAGATGAAATTACTCAGCCTTCTTATGAGAGTGCTGTTATTATGCAGGAAAAGGCTTCGTCTTTATTTTGATTATTCCAGACTATTGTGTACTGCCTGCGTCAAGATTATTTGTGCAAAGTAAATGGAGCTTTTAGCCCGAATTCGTGTATTTTTACTGTGAAAACACCATTTTCTTTCCCCATTAAATTTGACTTAAATGGAGACATTCAAGCTCTCCAGCTCAGCCTAGCAGGGTGAACCTTTTACTCCAGCTGCCCCAGGGGTGAGGACAACTTCTGATTTCCAAGAAGGCATTCAGTTTCCTAAAAAGGGCTCAGACAGCAATGTTTTCCACTGCTGTCTCTCTCTGTTTCACAGACAACTCCAGCTATAAGGGGATTTGGGAGACAGAGGCTTTGTTTATACAAGAACGCCGTCTGGAAACTGCTGGTATTTTCTGATGTCGATTGGGGAAATGTTCCAGAATTACATGGCTCTACATCACTGTAGATGAGACTAAGAACCCTTAAATCCAATGTCATGCCAGGCCACTATCTGGCGCTGTTATTTTAGCATCTGGCGACAATCCTGCTTTGCCTCACAGGTCTGTTCAGTATCTGCATCACCTGTGTGCCCTTTCACACCTGCAGGGAACTTCATCCCTCCATGGGGAGAGTTCCCAAAAAGTCCTGGTTTCAAAAAGTGCCGCTGTCAGAGACTCCGGTCACTGGAGACGTGCAAACAAGCGACTGGATCACAACAAAAATGTTACAGTTTCACTGAGAACCAGTTCAGTGAAGAGTTTAAACCTATAAAAATCCAGCAAAGAGAAGACCAAACATAAACACACCAGTGTTTATGTCGTGTTAATTGACTTCAGTCTAAATAGGTGATTAGGTGAAGTAAGTACAGTGCAGAAGTTCATTAGACTATAGCGAGTGCTGTGCACTGCACATTAATGCGCACACAGCTCCGCCCTGCTCCGCTCCTATCAGTCACACATCCCAGATAATTTGCACTTGACTCGCCCTGCAGTTACATCAAGTGACAAGATGGAGTTGGAAGATGTAAAACAAAAGCTAAAAACACCAGAAGTTACACTGTTTACTCAAGTTATGCTCTAAACAAACTGTTGTAATTAATATAATATGCCTGGTTTACCTTGAGCTTGGATCTATAATTAAAGCTAAGTAGTCAGATCAGATTGGGTTCGGACAGGTTAGGCCTGATCTAAACTATAGCTCAGTGTAAACGAGGCCAGAGAGGGACCAGATCAGATGAGCTCAGAGGTTACATAGTCAAGGACAAGAAGCAATCAGATTCTTTCTTCAGAAAGCATAAAGAGATCCAAAACACACAGCAAAGCAAAAATATTGGTGAAACAGCACATTTTATTAACAGTGAATATTAATCTGTATTTATTAATTTCCCTACAAGTTCATATGTTTAGCAAGAAGGAAGTTGATCGTGAGCAAAAGACTCAAGCTGATTGTGACAAAATCGTTTGGAAACCTTTTCAGACACCAAAGGTTTCTGCTGGTCTTTGTTATCTGCAAAGATTAGGCAAATTAGTCAGCTGACATTTCAAAACGCAATGATAACCACACTGACCTTTTTGAAATAGATCTGCTCATTCCAGGTATCAAAGTGCAGATGAATGATCACTGCAGAAATCTGAGTTATGGTTCCTGGTGCAGGTGAAGAACGGCTAAATGTCCAGTGACCTGTGTCTCTGCCACCTTAGCAGGAAGATTTAGGGGACAGTTCTCGCTTTTTAAAACCCATGTCAGGTAAGAGACACATGTCTGCAATTGGTGTCAGCAATCTTCAAAATTAATATTGTTTACTTCATTATCCATTGTCCAATTCTTAACTCACAAAGCATAAATATTTGATACAGTTTGCCTATTATCCTTTTTATTTTTAAATCTCAGACTGCTCTTACAATTATTTGTCCTAACTATACAGTTTTTGTCTTTAATTACAAAAACATATTCCAAAACACACATTTTTTTTAAAGCAACAATCACATTAGAATGAACTGGACAGTAAGACAATTCACAACCTTGACTTGTTGGGTGAGTTTTCAGAATTTTATGTTAATTTTTAAAGCACTGCTGAGTGTGAAAATGCGACTGATTAGTGGGCAAGAACAGAAACCAAGCAAACAATCCCTGGCACCAGTTTGGGGTATTTCATCCTCAGAAAACCACTGAGAGCCCACAGCTCAACAAAGAACTTTTTCCATTGATCACTCTGATAAGGTAATCTATTACTGCATTAGCTGATTAGTTTAGCTTCCACCAACAAAAGCCATCAGTCATCTCCAGCCATAGTCTGACTTTTGTCAATTTGCAATTTCATACCATGACTTTAAGTGGAAATGTTTCTGGTAAATTGATTATATATCTTGTGTATAAGCAATCAATATGTTATCCAGCCCCAGATTTGCATAAAATCAATCAGAAGTTGCAGGATAAAACATTTGGAGGTATGGTTGAATCACTGAGAGGAGGTGAAGGAATGGCAGGACTAAATGAGACGGTAGCGTCATGAACCGGCCATTCATGAAATTACCAAAATGTCTAAAGCGGTTATGTTGTTACACGGACATGCATCCTGCCTCAGACAGAAATGACAAGCAAGAAATCCACCCGCCAGTCATGCAGCCAGTCAGCCATGCATGGGGGCTGAGAGCCATTGTGTGTATGTGTGGAGCAGAGTGACTATCGGCGAGCTGTCACTGGCTGAAACACACACCCTGACGTGCAGCAGCCCTCTAAGGCCTCCCCTGAAGTCTGTCAAGAAGAAGAAGGAGGTGAAAGTGTGTACATGCACGGGGGTCTGTTCATGTGCCTCTGTCTGGGACTGCAGGAGGTGTGGAAGGTGTGGGTGCAGATCAATAATAATCAGCTGCAGTAGAACTGGAAGTTCACCCAACAGTGACTCTCTCCAAACACACACAAACACGAATATATACACAAATACATGCACAGCAGCACTAAAAAGTTAATCTATACATCTGGTGACTGCTGTTGTGCTCCAAACGCCAGTGACAGGCCTCAACCACAGGCAGCCCACACACACACACACACACACACACACACACAAACAAAACAACCCAACTTTAAATTGAATGAGTCTAATGAAATCAATTTTTCCATACACTTCCCTACCATCATCGTACTCTCCCCCACCCTGGCTCCACACTTAGGACTTCTTTAACTTTCCTCACCTCTTTGAAGTGTTCTTGATGATGTCAGAGACTTTCTGTATGTAATCAGTAGCAAGCACTACAATCTCTTCGTCTTCAGAGAAGTTGTCGTGGAAAATTCGGTCCAACAATCGCTTCCAGTGAAGCTGTGGAAGAAAACCCAAAAGTCTTACTTTCCCTAAAAAAAAAAAAGCGACTTTCATTAAAGACCTTACTGGCTGCATTTATTTACAGTCATGTAAAACATTGCGGTCAAATTGGTCATTAAGTGGTGGCTGTACATTTTAATTCCTCTAAATTATATTTACACTTTATGTCTGTGTGATGTCAGCATTTCAAAACCTGTTCAAAGCTTCAAACACAACAAAGCAGATTCTGGTTCTTCACATGCACATGGAGTCTGGGGTTTTCATAATATCCTTACTAACTGTGCTAATTGCTCATCTGAGAAGCTAATGAAAGTTAATTGTTGTGCTTTTGTTTTTAAAAAGGTTGAACCCTATTTTGGAGCTAGTGCGCTCCCGCATATGCAACATTACATCCACTCTGCTCCTAATATGCATAATTAATAACGGCGCATGGCACCTTTGAAAGCTCACAGCGTCTGAGGTTGAAGTGGTCAGAAGACAGTTGCTGATAAATCAGAATCATGTAAAATTGGTATTGTAAAACAAAGCTTTCCAAAAAACAGAAATCGGCCACATTCTGATTGGTGATTATCAACAGCTGATCTTAATCTGCTCTGCTTCAGAAAACCTCAACACGATGTGTTCAAAGTGAGGTAAAAATGTCAACGATGTTTTGCCACAATGCCCCCTTTACTGCTAACCAGGCATTTTCCCACTGATCAGAGCTTTGGTTTTATTTATTTTTTTATCCAGTCCTTTCTGTTTAAAGATGTAACATAACAGGCATGACCGCTTTCTACTTCCAGGATATTTTTGCATCATTGTGTTCTCCCAGATTATTTTTGTTCTTTAAAAGATGCCAGCGACAGCGATGTAGTTTTTTATAATAGCATAAAATACTATCCCTTCTTGCTCTACTTGCTGCCTCAAGCTGTCACTCAGCTTTTGTAAGATGAGGGAAAAAAAACCCTGAACTCTTCCCCCTATTTTCAAAGCATTCACAGCCATTACTCGCCACCTTTGAAGTGTCCCCCAACACTGCTTTTAATGTAACTCCGTTTTACAATATACATATACAATACACAGGAGAGTTAGCGTATCAGTCTGCTGCAGACTCGCTACTGAGAAGACCAACCTGGCCAGTTAATGAGGCAGCAGCGAGGAACTAGTAATTCATTCCGAATAAATTGCTGCGACAAATTGCCTTTAAGAAACATCATCCAATCTGCTACACAACAGTCACGCTCTCTCACACCCCCTTTATTGACACTTGAGTTAAGCCTTTGCAAAGTTTTTATTGCAGCTGTTGTTTGCTGATCTTCTTAAGATCAGCTCTGTATCTTTTGCCCAGTTTCCATTTCTTCCAAGTCAACTTTCATCCATCCTTTCCAAGCAAGGAGAGACACCTCAAGAGACTCCTCCTCCTTCCTCTCCCGCTGTTTTTCTCCTAACCTTTACCTCCTGTTCCTTTCCTCCTACTTCTCTCCATTTCTGTGAATACCCCCCAATGTGTCCTCATTTTTCTCTGTTTCTTGAACATTTTCTTTCAATCTGCATCTCAATCTGCTTCCCTGCTTCAGCTTTTGAGAGCTTCTAAGGCGTCTCTCTTTCTGTGTGTTCACTGTTTCATTGTTTCTTAGCCACACACACTAACATCACTGCCCAAAATGCTCTGCTGGAACTCAAATTTTAATCCATTACGTAAGTTTTTGTCAAAAACATCTGTATGCGTACAGTGCTGTGAAAAATGATTCCCCATCTGAAAAACCTTTTTGTTTTATTGTTTATTCAGATATACACTATAATTTAAATATCAGATGACGATAACCCAATAGGGCTATTGTGCCTTAAACCATAAGGCTTGGTTAGTTTGAGTAGCTTTTTTTCTCGAAATTAATAAAATCCTCATTTGAGAACTGCATTTCGTATTTACTCATGCTATCTGTGATTAAAAAACAAAGCTGATCTGAAAATGTTGCATGACAAAAAAGGAAAAAAAAGAAAAACAGGAGACAAATACGTTTTTCCTGCAGTATGTTATATAAATGCCTTGTCTGTGTGTGTGTGTGTGTGTGTGTGTGTGTGTGAGTGTGTGTGTTTCCATGCGTGCGTGCATGTGTGCGTGTGTGTGTGGTGCGCTCACGCTAGGTGCGATGCGCTGCAGCTGCCTAAGGGTGATTCGGTTGTACATTGTGCTGATGTCTTTCCTTTGGTCATCGTACTCCGACACAGTTATCTGTTGAAAGAAACACATGGTTAAACAATGCATATGCACAAGCACCAGCATGCATGATTGAACATGTGCAAAAGGCTGCGCTCTTTCAGCTCACATTGGCCAGTTGGGTCTCCAGCTCTATAATCTCCTTGGACTTCTGTGTGGCATTGTGAGCGCCCAGCATGCTCAGCAGGCGCTCCATCAGGGCTTTGTACGCTGCCAGGATCTGGGAAATACAGTGACATCAGCGCTGACGGACAGGAGGTGCCACGGCGACAGCACCAGTAATGACTGGTGGCGATGGTGACATGTGGCAAAGTGGAAGGGATAACAAAAGCACTGTGGGTGGCTGAAGAAAACAGGTGGGTTGATGAAGAAGGACGAGGGGAGAGTGAAGTGGGCCAGATGGAGGGGTGAGTAAAGGCAGAGAGGATTTAGGGGGAAATGGTTGAATGAGGGGCAGCAGGGAAAACAATCAAGGCCAGTTACAAAAACAGCGATAAATATTACAGGTGAGGTCAGGAGGTCAAGAAAGAGTGGAGAAGGAACTCTTAGTTTTCCTGCAGCTCTCATTTTTTTCACAATTTGTTATAATGGGATCACCAGCCTCTCTGTATTTATTTGGAATGTTGTTTAAAGCCAGCTAAATTTTGAAGTGGAGAAAAAAAATTACTCACTGTTTATTTTTGTTTAAAAAAACTTCTCCTATATATAATAAGACTTTTATGTATTTATAGTCAGCTGCCCAACTCAACACTTTGTAGAATCACCTGCAACAATGGCGCTCCTTCTCCTACTCATAAGTTGGATTTGATGCGTCCCCAACCTGAATGTTTATGTTATTTGTTCATAATTATGTTATGTGGTTGCTTTGAATTAAGGCAGTGGTTTTTACCAGACGGAAATGTGTGTGCAGGATACCGGGTGATAGGAGAGTTAGGAAGGAATTCAGGACTTGACAAGATGTAGAGAGATGAACTGAGCTGTTGAGTTTTAAGCTGCCACAGTAGGTAATGATTCCTTGAAGCAAACCAAGAGATCTCTGTCAGCCAAAGAAAGGACAGGACTGGGGGAGGATCCTGCACTCACATAAAGCAGACAGGCTCTAGCATAAACACGACCCACTCGGTATGAACGCTGGGGGTTCTGGGAGATTTGTGACTATGCAACTTGTGCACAAGGCAGATGCAGTGGAAGAGCCCTCCATGTTGGTTTGAATAAAGCAGACAGACGCCAAGAGCAGTGTGATTATTTTTATTTTACTCTTTTTCACTCCCTGCTTAAAGCATTTACCAATTTATTGTGCTGTATAACTTCCCTTTGAGAAGCTATTGACATCTGCGATACAAAATTGGTTCTGAATGAAGATGAGCTGTTATCCAACACTGAGGCTATCACAACAATTCAGGATTCTTACAAAGAGCTTAAAGTCAACAAACATCCTACTTTACCTGAACCTGTTCCTGCGATGTCAGGAAGTGGACATAGTCTCCCTGCATGTCTTTCTTGAACATCCCAACCTTTATCTGTCATTAGTTCACTCCAGCCCTGTTTAGCCTGCTTAAATCAAACTCTGGTTGTTTGCCTAGAAAGTCTGATTCGGTCGGGGAAGTGTGAAAGCAAACTCTGGTCCTCTTAGAAACCAAAGTCTTGGTTTGGTTGAAGGGAACTCTGGTACAGTTGAAATGCATAATATGAATGGCAAGCAAATAGGATTTGTAGTGCTGCAAATTCTAGGTAAAAACAACCAAAACAAATGCAGATGTGTAGTGCTGGCATGAGAAATGGCTTGTGGCCTTTTACCAAAGATAAAAGAGAAATCCTACAAACGCTAAAATCTAATTCCACTCCAGTTTTATTTACATTTCTTAAAAAAGGAAGTTGGACTCATGCCTTCTTCAGAGATTAATTTCAAGGTGCAGTGTGAAAGCAAACTTTGCCAGCTGAAAATTTAACAAATGTTGCAATTTTGGTTCCCAATCGAACCAAGTCAACTGGACTACCAGGTGTGAGAACACCCTTAGATGTGAAGTGACACAAACCAGAAGATAATGTTTGTGTTGGTTGCTTCTCATTTTCTAAAAATATATCAGAATAAAGGAGGATAAAACATATGTAAGTCAAGCTTTTCAGATTTTTAAACAATGGGACATTTTTTCTTCCATGTTGTAATTATGCAATTATGTTAGTCTGTCACTGAAAAGCAGTAAAATGCATTGAAGTTTGTGTGTGTGAAGAGACAAAATGTAAAAATGTTGATGTTTCAAATGAATACTTTTGAGAGGCACTGTGAATGAGTAATTTGAGCAAACTAAGGGACTAAAATAGGTGAAATGAAGGGATTAAAATGAGGGGAAAAGATGACAGGGATGGCATAAAAAAGAGGCAAGACCACTGAACTTTGTTCACCTTCACACTATCCTCATCCTGACCGAGGTAGAGGCTTCGCTCTGGCAGAGTCAGTCCCTCTTGATCAATCTGCAAAAGCACGGAAAAATAAAAAGTTAAGAATTCAATTTGATGTAAATTTAAGTATGTTTTCCTCTATGTCTCCCTGTAATGTACACCATGGATGCACATTCAGATCTAGTCAATGACTGAAAGCTTAGCTGTAACGCCAACTTGTCATTCAACACACTGAATGCCTAATGTCAGAATTATTCATAACATTTAATTAATAATTCACACAGTTAACCAACTCTTATTTTCACACATCAGCCAAGATAAAGACTTTGCAGTTTATTGTGGAAAACATGATTTGTGGATTTTGGTTGTTGTGTTATTTTCAGGTTAATTTAACCCTTCAGTTTTCCCACTCCAATTCATTTGCCTATGAACTCTGAGATTTAATAATCGCTCATTATAACGTATTCAAAATGTGACTGGATCAAAATTACACATCACCAGGGGTGTAAGTCTCATTGAACGAAGTTTCATGTTAATAAAACACCATTTTTCTACAAAGTGATGTATGTCAAAGTTGAAGTGGTGTCAAGCTGATTTAGTAAGGCGAAAATTAGCATAAGCTATGACAATGAGCCCAGATACGACTACCCGAGCCTGTTTTTATTGTTTGAGACATTTATCTTGAGTTAAGAAAGGAATTACTTCTTAAACTGCATTGTTTTGTTGACTAATTTAATAACTGGCGAATATGCTGACCTTACATCACACATTTTTAGTCTTACTGGCTCAAAGGGCTGTTCCTCTAGGCCAGTGGTTTCCAAACTTTTTCTTCTGCGCCCCCCCAGTGGTTTCCAAACATTTTCTGCGCCCCCCTCCTATGGATTACAAATGGCTGTCTGGTTGAAACGACACGTGTGGAGGAGGGGGTGGCGACATTTTTGGGGCCAAAATGAATGTACATAGCTGAAAATAGACACCAACATCTGTAGCCTACAAGGTACTTGCTAGGCTTCAGGTGCTGTATTGATATTAGCTAGTCACCTTTTAGCTAACATTACCTGCATCCAACAGCTTCACTCAACTCAGTCGGTTAGTTTGGAGGGAAAAACTGTGAAAAGTTATTTGCGTTTTGCTGGTTTGCTGCCGTGATTCTAACACAAACCTACGTAGCTCCGCACAGCAGCAGCAGGTCTCCTTCACAGGTGTAAACCCAGCGCGAGTAGCGCTCATGTTGCGTTTAAAGGCGGCTCGGAAAAACAGGTTACAACATGTTAACAACGGACTAAACTGTTTTAACTGCTGATAAAAGTGACAGAGGACACAAATATGGGAAGTGTGGATGGAAACCTCTACTGTATCAAATTGACATAGGAATAACAGGGAGTTGGCCATTCTAAGGTAAAAATCCAGCGCATACAGTGGTCATGTTTTTGTTTTTTTCATCCAGACGGCTTCCCGCGCCCCCCCTGCAATGACACGGCGCCCCCTGTAGGGGGCACGCCCCACAGTTTGGGAACCTCTGCTCTAGGCTAACATTACCCAGACATGCTCTCTATACACACACACAACCCGATGAGCGTGTGGTGTGGGAATTTGCAATTAACATGACGTGAAATTGTGAGTTTAACATTTTTTATCAGAATTAGCTGTTGATTCTAAGCTAATTGGTGATTTCACAATTTTTATAAAAGAGATCTGGACTTTACCTACGACCCCTGGATCAAAATGTAATCATGCTGACTGAACTGGATAATCTTACACTGAACAGAGGTCACATTCTGAGATCCATAAAACTTGTAAACTTTTCCCTTCCTCGCCAAAAAAAATGACATTATGCATTTTAAACAGAGCTTTCTCAAGACAGCAGGACTTGATAAGGTAGATGATTATGCTATTAAAGTTTCTAAAGAGCCAATAAAAAGACAAGAGCAGACAAATACAGATAAGCCATTTATAAACCCTAATTAGTTTTCTGAGCTCACCCTGATGGCGTTCCTGGAGGAGTTTTTATCGTCCACATTGACGGTGAGGGAAAAGAAGACGGCAGTGCTAAAAACCCCCTGCGTCCTGTAGAGCAGCTCATTAAAATCCGGCCTCTGGGGGGCGTCCTCCCTCTCCCACCCAGCAGGGCCCGATGGAGCTCCCTCCAGGTCCCATCCTCCACAGCTGTCTAGCACCTCTGTCATGGGTTTTGACCCCAGTTTGTCAATATCCTTGATGTTGATGCAGGACCGATAAAACTCCTTGACCTTCCGCTCTGCGGAGTCTGGCCCATGTCTCTGAACCGGCTCCAGAAGGAGCTGCTGCAGCTTCTCCTCGTTTTGCTCGCCGATAGCTGTGATGATGCCATAGCTGAGCTTGTCTTCGGGGATACCGTGGCGCCTCAGCCAGCCTCCACAGGCAAAGGAATAGAAGTCCTGGCAAGGCTGTATGGTTATGTCAATATTGGCCTGAACGAAGCGAGTCGCCCGCATAAGGGAGCGTTTGTGTTGGCAGTCCTGCCTGCAGTCCGCGTCGTCAAGTGAAATGTACTTGAGAGCCAGCATGCTCCCCAGGATGAGGCACATGCCTGCAGCAAAGACCAACGCAGACAGGAGGCAGTTCTCCCTCCTACTCCAGCGAGGAAGGCCCCCGCTGCTGCTGCTGCTCAGGTCTTTGTTTCGGCTGTTTGACCAGGTGTTGCCCCTCCCTCGGACCACATGGCGGTCCAGGCTGCCCCCCAGGTGAAGGGTCATGCCATTGCTGAGGATGTCGCTGCTGTAGCGACCGCCATATTTGATTTCCTGGAACTCATCGTAGTGGGCAGTTAGGGAGTATGTCTTCTCCATCACAAAAGATCTGGTAGTAACTGAAGGTTTTAAGGGAAAAAAGTTGGGATATTAACTTTTTCTGCCTTTAGAATAATGTCCTCATGACTAAAATGTGTCTAAAGCCTACCTTTTTTATTCTGGTAATGCCCACTGTCTGCTCTTTAAGTCAAAGCCCTTTATTGAAAGAGACTGGAAACCTCCTGGTCCTGCTTCTGGTCTCTTTCTTATTCACTTTCTCTCTGCTGTCCTTCCATTTGTTCTCCCGTCCTCCTCCTTGGCAATCAGTTTCAGGTCACCTGTCAATAAAAATAGAAATGAGACAGAGGAGGGCTGTAACTCACAAGAGAAATAGGAAATTGAATCCAACAGCACAACAACAGAGAATGACAGAATAACATCCGTTTTGCCACATCTTTCCCTTCTTTGTCTGCCTCTGTTTGTCAGCTCAAGCTGCTCAATTGATTAGTGCTAGTCATCCCACAGGGGACAGAGAGTATCCCTTGGGTGACTTAAAATTGCCTGCAGATCACTGGAGATGGCGAGCAAAGAGCTGGGCATCAGCTGGGCCATGGAGAGGTGTTACAATAACCATAACTTGACTTATGTCAGTCCAAATTGATGTAAACTAATATTACTGCAGGGGGACCAAGACTTTATTGCCTCTGTCGCATCAACAGGAACAGACAGATGTTCTCAACCTGTCCGCCATTTATCAGTCCAGCAAAGCTGCTTATTTGGGGTATTAAACAAACAAACAAAAAAATAGGTCATTTTCACAACAGGATGCATCGAGGACCTGGTTTAATTGGATGAAGGATGGGAATTTTTATTCGCCTTCATGTAGCTTGCTCAGCTCCTTCAGACTAGTGGCAGCAGCAGAAAGCAAACGCCTGGTGGAGCTGTGCATCTGCTGAGCTGATCAAACAGACTAATGCTCCCAAGAATGTTCCTAAACTATTAATGGAGAAATGTCGCAATGATGTGTTGAAGTCGGAGAGTCACAAAGAGGACAAGCTTCTTAAAGGGACAGAAACCTAATTTCAGGGGTCAAATTCCAAAGGCAAATTTCTTTTCAATCATATTTGATATATGTGCAACATTTTTAAAACCAAAGATAGCCCATTTCAGTTCATCAAGCTCTGTTAGGCATGTGTGTCTGCATGGTTGTTTTTCTTGTGTGAATTTGAGCTCTACCTTTATGGAGACAGAGATTTAATTCAAAATATTTCTAATGTGTTGATTGATTATACTTCAGTTAAGGAACTAATTGTTTTTCAATGCTTTGTAACCTCTATGGCTTAAATTTAAAAGCCAGTATTGTAATTTTCTTCTGTTGATCAGATCTTGCCAAAGGCACAGCAGAAACCTTTACTTTGATCCAGTGTCGTTTTCTAGGGCCTCTCCTAGAAAACCAGCCCAACCAACAACCTTTTATGTTGTCTTTAAAAGGGCAAAATCACATTTCCAGTGTAGAGATGTATGCCAATGAATATCCATGGTAGGGAGATAATACTTTTTGGTTTACTCTTAACTACTCCATCATAAGACTTAAATGAATTTTATGCCATCATATTTCAATAATCTCAGTGTAAATTAGTCTGCAACAATTATTTTCTAATACATTTACTTGTAAGATATTTTAAATCAGTGATTTATTTTATTTTTCAAGCTGTTTTAGTCAAAGTAATAAAGTTTTTCTTGGAATTGCTTAGAATTACAGGTACAACTGAAAATATTGTCAGGCACTTTCAACAATTAGCATAGCTCTGCGTATTGTTTGCAAAATGAAATATATTTGCAAAACTTACACACTAAAATATTATATTTGTATCACTTTATTCACAGGTTGCTCTGCAAAATCTCCTGTGTAGAATTGTGCAAAAAGTGAGATCCTGACTTTGGGCATACAGTTCTGCAAATCTGATAAGGTGTTTCCCTACTTACATGAAAGTTGTAGATAATTCTTGCATTCTTTTCCCTTATTCATAACCCAGCCTTCATCAGTTCAAAAATCTAAATTTCTTATTTAAACAGGTGTAAAAGAGGCTAGGAATCATGCAAAAGAGCAACATTTATTAGGTCTGAGCTACACTACACAAATATTTGCAAACATTAAATGCAGAATTTAAGTTCTTTATGTAATTCATACTTCTCTCTTTTGATGTATTATTAAGCTTACTTGTGCAAGACCCAAATTCTCCAACAAAGGGAAATGATTCTGTCCCACAGAAGACAATGTTCAAAGAATGACCTAGTAGATTAAATTAATAATCACAAACAAACAGTTGGAGATGTTTTCTTTTTTTGGCACCTAAGCTAATTAAGACTTAAGGAGTTTAAAATTTTAAGGCATTTTGAAACAGGGGATTAAAAAAAATGGAAAAATAGTTTTCATTATCTTCATTAGGGACAGACTTTTTGGGATGGCTGATGTTAGTGGAAAGTGCTGGATGATGCATTATGTTAATCAACTGTTAAAGAAAGTGTGTGTGTGTGTGTGTGTGTGTGCGCGTGCGTGCGTGCGTGCGTGCGTGCGTGTCTTAGTGTGTGTGGAAACCCACTTGCTGAAAGCTCTGAAGGCAGTTCGTAAAAATTGATCCCTGCTATCACCACTGAGAATGCAGGTCTAGCTCTTGATTTGTTTTACAAGCTGTTGGTTGACTTTTTTACGTGTTGTATAAAGATAAGGAAAATACAGCTAAGGAAAAGTGGATCCCATGTTTTATTCTATGAGGCATAATAATGAACTCTGTAAGATTAGTGGATTATTTAACAGCTAAATACAGGAAATAAGGATATTTACTTTTACTCCTATAATAAACTTATAACAGTCTTTATTTAGCACCTTTCAACAATGCTTTGCATTAACTAAAGTGCTTTACAATAAATGAATACAAGGCACAATAATTCATATATAACTCGTATTTATATATATGAATTAAATCAAAGGCTCATAAAATGAAAGAAACTCTACTTGTCATTTTTAATTTAAAAATAGATCTCCAATTTTACCACATTTTACACAGAGTGTAAATGTAGCGTTTTCTTACTACTAACAACGATTTGCTTTTCTGTCTTTGCTTTTGTAAATACCTTTAGCTTTTAGTTTGGAACCATGTGCATGTGACTTTAAAATATGTTTATGGCTTTTTGGTATCTAAAATGACCTTTTCTGATTATCATAATCAAATAAATGATTATTTTACTTTACAGAGAATGACTTCAAACTTTTAAGAGCAATCATAAAACATCAGAAAATGCTTACTAGGCAATAAAAGTGACATATTTCTGAGTACCACAGAGGAATTTCCCTTTCTGCCAAAGGCTTCCCTTCTTACACTCAGATTTTGTTCATCTTCTGTACATAGCCTGTGGAACCGTGGTGACCTCTTGCTCTTTACATCATTCTAACGCTGCTCCAGACTTGCAGGTGAAAAGTCTAGAGCAGGATAAACTGAGTATATCAAAGTGAGAAGAATAGGAAAGAAAACTCAGTGAGATTCAAGGATTCTGTGTCTGTGGAGAGTCATTATCACTCCACCCTATCATCCATCAATCTTCTGCATTGTTACACAGATGCACACACCCCATGAGAATCATTCTGGGTCCAGGAAAGCAGAGCCACTCACACAGACTCCTGCCCTCTCTTCACTATAATGTGAAGGAAATTGGATTGCAATTCAAAATATGAAGCAACCCGACTCTCCGTGCAACTTCCCTCCTCTAGCAAACACCATCTCTGTGTCACAACTCCTTAAGTGTGATAATAAATTATGAGACACACGTGCACACACAACAGATGATCGCACGCTGGGTGGACATTTAATGTATGGCTAATGGATTGGATCTTGTGGGTACCATCGCAGTGAGAGGTTTGCGTGATAAATGGCTATTTACCAAACATGACGGAGCCTAATATCTGAGAGTTAAACTAATGCAGCAGCACACTCACACATGCACGCCCTCTTTCTCGCTCTCGCTTGTCACATGCACCTTTAAGTGCTGCACTGATACAGCACAGCTGATGCACAGCTCCTTAGCAGTTGTCAAAAAGTCACCATACATCAGTTACTTATTGATATAAAGTGTGGCTTTTCAGGGGCAACAGAGATCCCGTTAACACTACATTGACCCTCCTTCATGTATGAATACCCATTAGTAGTCCATTAGCACAATGATTTGCAATGATTTGCAAACTTTTCAGTGTTTGACCCAAATAAATAAATAAAATAGACTCCTGATTCCAACTCCTAGTTGAGCATTTATACTAATTAAAAGAAGGAGTAGGGAAAAACAAGCAGCAACAACAGCTAATATAATGCTTTTTTATCATTTGTAAGTAAATACTGCTTTTTCTCTATCATTTAATTTGAACAAATACACTTGACTAAACAATGGAGCAAGTGGTGCAACAGCTTCTCGCAGTCACCATAAATCAGATAAAATGCAGGAGAAAACCTCTCAAAGCATTGCAGGTATGGATCTGTGACCAATTTGCAACAGAGTCACTTGCAGCAGCAACAGGCCAGCGCTCACGGCTGTCGTTGCTCTCACCTCAGTTTGGTACTAACGAGAAAATGGAAATACTGACAAAATGACAAGATTCAAATACCTTGTAAACACTGCGATAATACCACGAGTTTTAGTCAATAAAAGCTGTTAATTTGGGCTCCACTTTGAAGCGCTGGCATTTAACAAAAGAGCTGTATCACATTTCTTTAATGAGTCTGGAACAAATCTGATCAAAATCAAGAAACCTGCACAAGCATTTTTTGAATGTATTTTTGGCATTAGAACCATTTTATAATTAGAAAATATTTTTTATTCTGTTATTTTATTTTACAATGGTTGCAGATTAAAAGCTAGTGTTTATTTATAAAAATGTATTTTATTTGCAAAAGCAATAAAAAAAGGTAATTTTAACTTTATGAAAAGAATTGTGAGAGTTTCATGTTGTGTATCCAAACTGTTTCATTCATTATTTAATTTTTAACAGATACACAAATTGCTTTCGGTCTTAAAAACTCAGTATGGCTGTCATTTGCTGCGACAAAAAAATAATGATTTATTGTTGCAAAGCTGAGAGCAACAAATTCATGAATTTCTCAAAGATCAGACAAAATGTCTCAAGAACTAGTTGCGACTGGGGAAGAAACGAAAACGTTTTCTTTAACTTCAACAAGAAACAGAGCGAACTTTATGTGTAAAATATGGATGGAAATGTTAAAAGCTATTTTAATAATCACGGTGGTTGAAGTTCTGAATCACGTTGTATCAATTCGTGCTTAATTTAGAAACATCTGTGCAGCACCAGGTTCACATCACTGTCACACAGACTTTTGATGGATGACAATTTTTAGATCATAAAGGTTACCTGTCACATAATTCAGATTCCTAAAATGAGAATATCACTTGTTCTTGGCAAATGGAAGCTGATTATGGTTTCGCTTTGGAGTCATGGGAAGCTGAGACTTTATGAGATCCAAACTGCTCCCTGTGGTCTCGTAGATTTCACTCTGATGATGAAAGTCAGTTGAGGTTAAAACTGTCTGCTAACTCTTCACAGCAGAGTCCCAGATTATATGATATTAATACATTAATAATAACTCTGCCACTCTTCATCTAATCACTGGTCAGAACACATCATGCTCATGTTTTACTCCAAGCAGCAACTGCAAGTTTTCTGTGAGGAGAAAAGAAAAAAGTTGCTCTCTCTTTGCTGCAGTTTGTAATGATATTTTGTGGTACCCAGAAATAAGGGCTTAGAAGCAACCCTCTTCTTTTATCTTCTCTCCGCCAAGTTGCATCACCTGCAAGCCCTCTATAAATGGGTTTATTATCCCTTAATCAAAATGGTCACCGAGCTTTTCCCCGTGAGCAGTATAGCTACGACACTCGGAGGGTTCAGAGTGAAAGTCAGCCCCCTCGAGTCTTATCACCAGTCGCCAGAGGCTGCAGCAGAGCGCTGCGCTGCATTTGTATGGGCTACCCATTTGGACACACTGCTCATGAGTACTAACATCCTACTTAGAGTTGTACTCAAGCAGAACTTCTTCTGCGGAGCTGTTTAAGCATGCATGTATTGAATCTTGCACACAAGGTGATTTAAAGCATTTCTAATAGTTCAATTATTCTCTCTTTTTTTATTATAACATAACAATAGTTGAAAATGACAAGCATCAGATTGTGATACTTTATTAGAAGACCCAAAGTGATAATATGTCTTAGATGAAGATAATTTCTTATATGAAAAATATAATTGACGTATCAGGGTTGACAGTAACGGTAAGTTATGTTAATGAAGTCAAGTCTGTCCTTTTGTTTACAATGTAGCCACTTCTGAATCCACACTGATGCAAATCCCTTTTGTTGATCCATCCTTTATTTTCTGTGAAAGTGCACGACCTGCCTCCGATCTCAGTTGTTACACTGTAAAAATGAATGAATGAATTTTGGACAGCATTAAATATTAGTCGTCAAAATTAAAATGCAATCAAGCATATCAGTTTTTAAATGCAATACCTGATAATTGTTCAATTTTAAAAACACCAGCTTGCTCATTTTGATAACAAATCTTGCCTAAACCTTAAATAACATGTTACCAACTGTGGTAACGAGCAGAGAACAGTAAGCTAAGACTGTTATGTGTTTATGGGTTCTAATATGAAAGTATAAAATAATTTACTGAACTTCCAGCAGACTTGTGATTGAGACAGGTTTTTTTGTGTTAGAACAAGAATGTAAGCTTGAATCCACTTTAGTTGGTTTCAAAAGTGAAATTTGGTAGCTGGCTGAGCTCCTTAATCTTGAGCCAGTCAATACCAATGAACAGCGCATCTTGTCAGGGGAAAGATTTACAAGTCTCCCTGGCAATATAGATGACAATAGCTCATTTCTTTCAGTTTTTTATGTTTCTCTCAGCTTTTTGTTTCTCTTTTAACACAGAATACCAACCAGATAACAAAATGAGAATAATAGTTTGTTAGAATTTTATTTATGCTGCATCAATATTTAGATGTATTGTTTAAAATTGACAACAGTTCTGCTAATAATTACACCAAACGTTTTGGGTAAATGTATTTCTAATCACCGTAGTTCGGTTATGAACATAATCTAAAATTGAAGTTAAACAGCAGTAAAAGTGAGAGCGCACACCTACTGAGGACTTTAACTCTGACGCGCCTGTTTATTCTTTGACTCGGCAGCATATTTTAAACATTTACTTAATATTTCTTGTTCCAGTTAACATTTTCTGTTTAAAAATTGTAAGTTCAAACTTTGAGAGATGTAAAGGGGTTTCAGTCAACTTTAAACAAGGTTGAGTATTACGCGGAGAGAACCATCTGTTTGTGTATTCAGAAAATCGGATTTGCTTTACAAACACATTTTCCAGAAGTTCCTGTAGGGTATAAAGATTTAAAAGAAACAAAGAGGACGCATGACTCTTCTGTTTGTTTTTCTTTAAGCAGTTTGGTTTTACACTCGCTTCGGTGTCCGATCTTCTCCTTGGCGACTGAACTGACAGCGCGTAAAGACGCACCTGGGGGAGGTGGAGGTCTGGGGATCCAACCTCATTGCAGTACAAACACTTTTAATATATATTCTATCTGAATAACTACAATTCACAAATGTTTTCCGATGATCTATGAATTAATAACTCTGAAAGGACGCAACGATTCACGTTGGAAACAGGTTCGCTCGCAAATTAACTCATTCAGAGAATTTAAGTGTGGCATTCTGGATGTACAATAAGAGCAGAAAGTATGTAATGTTTAGTCTAACAAATAGACTCAGTCTCCATATGAGCAGGTGACTACACAAAAACTTCGGTCGCTTGCGCATCCTAAACTGAGACCATGTGCGCAGAGACAGGAGCGGACCAGGGCACACAGTCTCCGACTTATTCACTTTATCTCTGGGCGCTTCCACTTGTTTCACCATCATTCTCTATCATTTGAACCCCATCTGCCGTGTCTCTCAGGCGGCAAACCCCCAGAGGAGCAGCCTCGGTGGAAACGTGAGTGTCCGCGGAGTGAAGAAAACTTGTGGTACTAAAACGGCTTACCTGCGCTGAGTGAATTAAAAATCCCCGCACGGAATGTGAAACCCCCCCACTTCTGGGTAAGCAGAAAGATCCAGTCCACTGAGGGTCCAGCTGGATTATCCGGGACCCTCCGGAGATCGGCACACACCAGGATCCGCGGCGCTTTCTGCGGCCGCTGCAGCGCACAGCCTCCGATGTATGAGGACAGAGGAGGAGGGAGGGAGAGAGGGAGGGAATGCTTCATTAACAAGGTGAGACGCACACACACACACACACACACGCGCGCACACAGGCGTGCACGCATGCACATCGATGAGTGCATGTTTAAAGAAACTGCACCTCAGGGAGTTACAAAAACAAACACATCAGTTTTTCTACATGAAATGCTAAAATTCAATTACAGTTTTCATACCTGATGAAAATAAAGGTTGGCCCACCACCAAGCCTCTGGATAAAATCAATCCATTCACTGATCTGCAGGTCATGAATGTTCATTTGTTATCTTAAAAACTTCATTACTCATTCCTCCATAACTCTGGATTTATGTTTAGGGTTGTTGTCCTCCACCCCAGTCTCTCTTGTCTACAAAGTGTTTTACAGCTTCTATCAAGGCTTATTCCAAGATGTTTACATGATTTAGCACCACCCATCTCCCCATCAACTAACCATCTCTGTCCCAGCTGGAGGAAAGCATTCCCTCATTATAATCCTACCATCACTATTTTAATGATGGGAATGGTGTGTTCAAGGTAATGTTAACTGTTAGTTTGCAAGTAAAACAGTAAATGAAGTTTTAGTCACATGTGACCAGAATAAGTGTTTCCAAATATTTTCTGTTCCCCTGCATGGCTATGGTTAAATTCCCATTTGTCACCACACCATGATGACCAAATTTGAGGAGTGCATGAATAATGGTCCTACTGGCAGATTCTCCCGTCCTGAGTTGTCCATCTCTGCAGCTCCTACAAAGCAGTGATGGTTCTCTAAGGTGCTTCTCTAATGGTCTTCTTGCTCACCCATAAGTTTAGCTTGACACCATTGATGGTGTGCTGGCTTTTCATTTTTGGATGATGAATCGAGTAGTGCTCTAGGAGATGTTTGAAGCTTGGAAATCATAGTAAACATTTGGAAAAACTGTTTTCTGTTCAGATGAGAGCAAAACATCATGCTGCTAGGTAGCTTTTCTTTATTAGATGTAGAGCAGAAGATGATAGCTGATGGGAAGTTGGGTCAAGCTAAATACAAGCACAAACTCATTTGTAGAATGGACCAAGCAATGGACCAGTCAAAGTCCAGGCCTAAATCCAACTGAGGATCTGTGGGAAGACTTGAACAAATGATTTCTACAAAGTGTACAGTGGTATTCTGTTCTGAGGACTGAACAGACTTACACTGCACACTTTACAGATTTATGCTTGTAAAAATGTTAGATCTAGTAAAAGCTCACAATTCACAGACTATTTATGTCGGTCACCTTTCTAAAATAATGGCCTCAGTAAGTTTTTGCCCAAAGTATTTATTATTACCTTTAATATCTTTTGGAAAGAAAGAGGTGAGGATTGCCCCCCCCCCCCACCTAAATCATTTTTGGCAATAAAAGACTTTGGCAATTATTTTAGGAAAGTGATGATATACGTTCTAAAGTAGCGATGTACTAAAACCTTAAAGGTTACACTTTTTGCAACTCACTGCAAGACTGACAACTTGCTTTAAAATTATTTCCTAATTACCTTTTCTTTGGGTCCATTCCGCTGCACTCTTCCCACCATGCAATGCGCTGATTTTCCTAACAGGAAACAATAATGTCAGGCAAACCAGGCCTGCTGGCTTGTAATTCGGCTCAGTGAAGCAGTGGATGTGGGCAGCTGTCAGCCTGCATGTAAGCAGGACACTTGGCAAAATTATGCTGCAACACATGCGGCCTACAGACCCAGAATTATAACAAGTGCCCCACTCTCATGAGTGAGAGAGGGAGGGAGCAATGTGCTGATGAGGAGAAGGGGAAGGCAGTGTGTGTTTCAGTCCCTCAGCTCTTTGATTCATCCGTATTTGATATTGGGATGTTATTTACACACCTGCTGCCACCGGGACAAGCAAGGAAACCCGTTCACTTCTGGCCTTAATGTACACAAAACCACTTCCCAGTTAGAAATCCAGACTACCTCATATTGAGACAACAGGGACAAGATCTATGGGCCATGGGGATTGTTAAAATGGTTAAACTAAATACCATACAAAAAGGCTGGTCTGAAAAACCTCTTTATGCAAACGTACCATCTTTTGATGGTTATCCAAGAGTTTCAATAAGCTCAATACTGCAACGCTATTTCTGAGTTTCTAAAAATATTCCTTTGACCTGGTTCACTTGATTAATCAAGATCCCTAATGAAGCTGAAATCTCAGAGAGATGAGTCCAACGCAAAGACTATTGTATTTCAAGAACTTAGAAAACTACGCTAATTGATTTCAAAGGAATACACAAACCATGGTGGACCACATTATAACACACTTGTGCTTCCTGTCCAAAGGCCAAAACAGAACTGGATGGTTAGCCTCCAGGTAGCTCTTGGGTTTAGTTTGGCTTAAGATGGATGGAGGCAGTTTGCCCAAAAGGTACAACTTGGATAAGACGAGAGGAGACCTGCCTGCTCAGCACCTGAGCCCCACCCCACCCTGTGTGTCCACCCCCTACATCTTCCTCTCAGACAGACTAATGGGGAGCTGGGAGCACCATTTATATTGATTGTACCCCTACTGGGACCCTGCCCCAGCTGTCGGATAGGCTGATTCCAGCCTGGAGGAGTTAAAGCAGATGTGTGTGTGTGTGTGTGTGTGTGTGTGTGTGTGTGTACCATTGTAAAGCATGGTTAGATATTTTGCTAAATTGAGATTTTCTACAGCATTTTAATCTGTCCTCATCAGACTCAGATTTAAGTGGCAAAAGGTTGTTAAAATGCTTTCTAAATATAAGTTTTAAAAACTTGGAATATGTGCACTGGATATATAGATTTAAAAAAAAATGTGGCAGAGAGTGAATTTGCACCTTCTCACAATCATCTCAGAGTTTATCTCATCACAAATGTGCAGTTCAGCCAGAAACTGAGGATGGAAACTTTGGATTTATTTAAGTTTGCTGTGTTGTATGTTTTAGTTTGAGTATATATTTTTTATATTTGTGTTAAACTTTAGGCCATTACCCACTCAAGCCAGAACACACTGAATGTGCAGGTGTTTCCCCATCAGATGCAGTGGCATAGAAAGACCAGATTGACAAGGCAGCAGGCACAAGCAGAAAAAATGAGCAGCGAGGGCATAGAAGGATGGGTGGAAACAGACCGGCAGGAGCAAAATTCAGGGACGAGCCCAACGGCAAAAGGAGACATGCAGCAGGAACTGGAAGGGGACAGCAATGAGCTGCAGAGAAAAGGAATGAGCATGCCAGAGTGAGAGCGGTGCGGAGAGAGAACAAAGTGGCCCGTAGCAAAATATCATTTGTTCTTATTGACCATTTATAGCAGGAGTCCTCGAATCCACGCCTCCAGATCCAGTGTTCTGCAAATTTTTAGATTTGTTCCTACTTCAACATGCCTGCATCAAATGGCTGAATTCAGTGTGCAATCAACTTCTCCGTAGTCATGCTGATGACCTGATTATTTGACTTGCTTGTGGTGAAGCAGAGCCAAATCTAAAACCTGTAGGCCTTTGACGCCTAGATTTGTGGATCCCCAGGTTATAGGTTTGGTTGATTGCTGTAGGGGGACACCCAGAAATCAGAGGGACATAATGTCCATTTAAGCCCAAGTTTTCTCAGACAATTTTAGTGTTAATTTCTTAGGAATAATGCAAAGCACTAGTTTGTATAAGGTCTTACAGTTCAATGAGTTGAACTCAAGATGTAAATCACAACCCAGTAATGGTCAAAGCAATGTTTATTGAAACAGTAGGAAATGCATAAGCTGGAATGTAACGGTCTCTCAGCAGCAGCCATCTGGTCAGACTGTGAAGAAGATAGGATGTCGGGTGGTTTCCTCAGATATACGGTGACTCTGACCTCGATTGTCTTGAATCCCTGGAGGAAAGCAAAATGTCCAAGGATTGTTTCACCCAAGAACACGCTATACGCTGGGAACTGTGTGCGCTCTATGTTTTGGAGAAAGAAAAAACTTTAGTAGAGAGGTAACATGATTCACACGCTCCACTACAATGATCTGCCCTTACCAAGAGGAAGTGAATGATCCATTTGCTTGTAATCTTTAACTAAATGGTGGGTCGAATAGTTGAGGCCAGCAACAGGCAGACATGGAAGGCAGAACAAGGCAATAATCAATATTCAGGCACATGAAACTAGTAGAACAAACATGGAGCAGGCAGAGGTGGAGGTCAGGAAGATGACAACAGGTTTGGAACATGTTCATAAGAAAGGCCATGGGACAGGAGTTTATATAGGCAACAGCACAGGTGCGTGCAATCAGTAATCAGCAGCACGAAAGCAGAGGCACAGGTGAGAGCAAAGAGCTAATCAGCAGCAAAGGGAGGAGCTGTGAACAGAGTAGCAACACGAATCATGGCAGGAAACAAGAAATTTATGACAGTAGGTTTATGAACAATGTCAATGAAATGTCAAGTCAGGCCAGTGAGCCATTTTCAATTGTTTCAGAGTAAACTCTACAGCTGCAGTCAATCAGCTATTGTATAAATATATGTTCTGTAAGTAACAAATTCACATTAAAGAAATTTATGGCATCACATTCCTACCAAAAGCCAGAGGAACGTATAAAGCGCTCACTCTTTGTTTCAATGAATGGTATTGTGCCCACGTTTCAGCTCTGTGTGTTCTTGATTAATACATGCCTAATGCGCTCCTTGGATTTTTGGCAGGAATGTGAAGCCATACAAATGATTTGATCTTAATTCCATTTCTAATTGAAGCAAAAGGCTGGAGAGCTTTGACAACACTTCTGTGTAGGTTTATGAGTGAGAGTGTTTATGCAGAACAATGTATTTTTAAACTCAATACGCAAACTATCTGCCAGCCATGCTATTGAAGATTTTCAGCTTTAATTGAGGGTCACTGTCCTGTTTTATGATCCATTTTCTGCCAGGCTTCTGCAGCCTTGCTGATAATTTTACATTTGACACAGGAATTGACTCTGTAATCCCCAAATTATCAGCCCTCCACCACCAGGATTGAAAGTAGGTATATTAGCGCTGATGTGCTCTGTCTGTTTTACTCCAAAAATGGTGCAGAACCCAGTGGGCCAGCAGCCTTACTTTGGTCTGACATATACTGAAAATATTGTTTGAGAAGTAATACGATTAATTGAAAAGTAACTGAGAATCCAAGCCACACGTACTTTCTCCTAGTATTGATGTCAGCTGGTGAATATGGCTCCAAAAAAGTCATATTCATCTTCCAACTTAACATCCTTTCACTCAGTATGACAGATTGTATGGAAATGGCCATTTAACCCTGGTTGAAATTGATGACAGGCAACAGTTGCTTTTCCCATCTTAATACTGATGCTTTTCCGTCTTGGTATAGTAAAACTTCTTCAAGCAATAAATAAGCAAACTGCTAAGACTCCTGAATCTTTAGAGGTGGTCACATTTACTGATAATGCAGTTTATTAATCAAGTGCATTTGATTATTTATGGAAACAGCACGAGTGTCTTACTCCTAACCGTGCCTGCATGCTGCTGTAGAGGGGAGCATGGAAGGTGCAAGAAAAATTAAAATCCAATCTCAACGTCTAAAAGAGGTGGAGTTTTAAATAAATATGACTGTATAACTTCTAATTGTCTTTGCATATTGTAAAACATTTCTACAAACACTCCACAAACAAATGCCTTGAAAAACCAGTCTCTGCTTTTTAAAATTATTCTTATTTTCCTCCCACTTGGCCTACACTTGTAGTCCTCAAAGATCTGAGTCTTATGTTTCTAAAGACACCTGACCTTTCATGTGGTACCACTGTGGGTGCCAAACACAACACAGCAACACAACCAGGTGGGAAATACGTTGACAGAAAAACAACAGACTCATTCTCACATGATAATAAACCTACAATATTTATTCCAGTTTGTAAGAGTAGACTGATCAGCATCAAACCATCAACTATAGAAAATAAATAGCATACTGACCTAACATTTTAATTACAAGACATTTCAATAAGAGCTGAATAAAAAGTAAAACCACAATATTCTGCTGAATACATATGAGCTCAGAGAAAATGAATCTGTGGACATATAACTAAGCGTGAGTTTTCACCGTTGTAGAGTTAAACCGCACTTCAGTTAGAGTATAAGACTTCCATCAGTTTATGGAAATAACATGTTCTTAAAGATATGGACTGCATATGTTCAGTTCAGTTCAAATTAAACAATAACTACATTAAATTTACTTTATATAGCTGCATGCTTTTCCGCCTTATGAATGTGCCAGACAGCATACAGAGAAAATCTCTGAAATGTAAATAAACCCTAAAGCAAATAGACAAGAACTTGGCTTTCAATTTTCTTCTCTCCAGCCATGTTCTTCCCGACTTCTTTGTTTTGTGCATATCATTCTTTTACTCATCTGTTCTTGTTTATTTCCCTTTCCTTTAGGTCCAGATTGTGCAGCCAGGGACAGCATTTGTAAATAATATCTTCTGCTGAACATGTAGAAACCAGACTTCCAAAGGAATACAAATGTGTTAGATTTACAGTCACCTCTGAAAGAATTCATGCCTCTGGAACATTTTTCACAGCAATCACAACCTTCAACCTGTTTTAATGGGGACTGAATATTATTAGTCAGAAAAGCCCTTAATGAATCTGGAGGGTTGACAAATATAAGTTGTGGATTTTAATGTTAAGTTTAGGTAAGATTTGTAAAAAGAAAGCCGTTGTTGAAAGAAATCTAAATGGAGTCTTATTTGCAGTTCACCAGAAGCTGTGTGGGAGGTAAAACAAACTTTTGATCCAAAGAGACTTAAGTAGTAGATATAAACTCCACTCTTTTCAAATTTCTGAAACATTTTGAAATCCATGTCTCTCTCTCCCTCTCTTTTTTTGTTTTTACTAAATACACATGTGTTTATGCCTTTCAGTGTGACAAAATGCACAAAAGTTCAAGAAGCATGTCAAAAATATTCAGCTTCCTTCTGATAGAAAAAGAAAAAAATGACAAATTTGTTTCCTGCAAACTAAGTTAATCCCCTCAATGGTTCCTGGAAACTTCTTGAACTACAGTTAAGAACAGAGACCATAAACAAGGGGAAAATCACAAACTCGGATAATTAGGATTTTCTTTTTCTGAGAAAGGCTTGAGAATACTTGTCTGCTGAGGAAATGTGCCCAAAAAGTTGCTATTTCCTGCAAACACAAATGGAACAATTAAGCATTCATACTAATGAAGGAATTATAAAAAGTGCAACAAATGTTCCAGCAAACCATTCCTCCATGGAGCAATGGGTGCTTTTTGTTAGATTTGTGAACCAAGGCTTTTGTATAAAACTAATAATGTCCTTTCATTTGCCCCCTTCTCCATCCCTCTTCTACATCTTTTTTTACTTGTTCAGTCTCAAGTGTCAAAACCCCATTACACTAATTAAGTCAGCGGACCCTCAAAGAGCTCTCCTCCAACCGGAAGAGAGAGAGGCAACATGGATAGGATAGATATGCTGAGAAAGAAAGAGATGGATGGAGAGAATTGGTGGATAAGTGAAGGGAGGAGAAACAGGGAAGTAAACTAAGCAGAAAGTCACAAGAAGAAACTTTCAGACAAACACGGAGCCTTTTGACTTGAGGAAATAAGCAAGGCGTTGGCTTAGAGATGTTGCTGTAGTTAATCTAAACAAATAAGAGCATTTTCTACATGACTGGCAGCCTGCAGCAGCCTCTGCACTTACTACAGATTACTGACTTCTCACACCTTCACAACTTCAAAGCATAAACACGCATGCAACATTTTTTTTTCTGCATGGGTGCCGCACCCAACATTTCAACACATACTGTACTTAGATTCTTTTTTTTAATTGATCAACAGAAAATTGAGAATAAATGAGAAATAGAAGGAAAAGGACACTTGGATTTTATTTTAAATTTTTTTTACAGACACAAATCTGACAAGTGAAGGTTTTCAGTCATCCAATTTTACCTCAAGAGAAAATCCAGTGCAACCAGTTTCAGTTCAACCCGCCATCTATATAGTCATGGCAGCCCACCTGAGCAAACAGCCTGGGCAAGAAGGGTAGTAACTACACTTACTCAGTTACTTGAGTAACTTTTTGGGAAAAAATACATTTAGGAATATTTTTAATGTGCATTATCTACTTTTATTTGAATAGTTTTATTATAAAATATTGCGGTTCTTCCGTGAGTGAAATTTCTGACTGAATGAAATTCAGTCAGAAATTTTGGGGACTGAATATTCCCCCCATAAAGAATGGGGGGAATATTTATTTAAAATGGGGTTAAAATTTTTGTTTCAACCAGATACAGACACACAGCTGCAGTTTTTATTAAAGTTTCATAAGTTTTACACTGAAAGAAAATTATTTGGATTTTTTTTTATTTTGTTGATTATTTTGTAAATGTTATTTATAATAATTTTCATTTTGTTCCTAAAAATACAAAAAGTTTCACATAATTTTATATTTTGGTCCATCTGATGATGCAATTTTAAAATATTACATGATTGATATTTTGAGCACTTACCCAGTACTTGAGAAGCCAAATACTTTTTTTTTTACTTCTAAATAAGTAATTTCATCGATGGCTACTCTTTACATTTACTTGAGGAAATATATGTTCATCAAGATGTCAGGGACGGCATCCGCTCAGCTTTAAAGCAGTTCACTGAATGAAACAAACCAGAAGAAAAAAAAAAGAGACAGATTGGAGCTGAAGGGGAAGTGGCACCAAATTGATTGGAGAAGGCAGAGACCTGATTAGCGGCCGGTAACCTGCACTTTGAGAGGAAAAACTCGTGAACATGTGAAAAGGACAGGTGTCAGGACCCCATGACAAAGGGCCAGCTGCAGAAGAGCTATGGACACTGAAGGGTGCAGGAGTGGAGGCACCAATAGATTAGGAGCCTCAGGAGCAGCAGTGATCTCCTCCTACATTATTATTCTGAGCCTGTTGTTTGCACACAAAAAAAGCAACCCTCCTCTTTTCTTTTTCTTTGGAGGGTGATGTCATGCCTATATGGATCCTTTGGTCAGCTGCCACCATCACTTACATCTTTGTCACTGTCACCATCTGCACACACATATCCACTTAGCCTCTGAGCGACCTACATTTTAATGCACATTTGCTGCAAAGGACACAAATATATCTGTATTATTGGATGGGCGGAGCCAGCCTAGAAGGAACTGCAGTGGAGCAGCCACAGTTCAGGATCTACTGAGGCAAGAAGAGCTTTATGACTTGTTTAGGCTGACCAGCCTTACCTCTTGCAGCGGTG